GGTTTCATTCTGTTGACACAGGGTCACTGTTAGTCGGAGCCGACTCGTCAGCCCCTAACAACAGGGCATTTTCATACGGATGGCGGCTCCTATGTTTTTCTGTAAACACGTGTCGGAGGAATCAAGTGCACTGTCTTACATACCTAATAACTCCCTTGCCTAACTCTCTGTGAGCACAGGCCCCCTCCTTAACTGCCAAGGCGAAAGTTATCTTCTCTGTGAGGAGATTCCAGGACTCTGCACACGATACCCTCGGGCCGCAGGGAGAGAACATTCTGGACGTTTTAAAAGCGGTGATTTTAAAACCGTGTTCCCAGGGTACTAGAATTCTAGGGTAAGCCCCAGGCACAGCCCAGGGGCAGAAAAACGCTCCGGCCGTCTGCCCCTACTTCCTCCACAGCAGTTCTGTTTTTATTTGACTCACATATTAGGGTGTTGCATAAGATTCCATTTGGTACTAAATATAAAACAAAAATATCTTTAAAAAGGTGTGAAAACCATTGCAATGAGAGGTTCCCTCTCCCTCAGGCACTTGTAACGGCCCCGCCCCAGGCTGTTCCCTTCAAATGGAGGTTCGAGCACTTCTTTTCCCCTAATGAAACCTGTCTTTTCCGACTCCTGCAAAATTTCAAACACACATGGGTTGAAACCCTATTTATTTGCAACATCCAAAAAGTAATCCAGAGTTTTGCACAGTGCACCCCACCAAGATTTGTTTTTCTCACATATAGGAAAAGCTGGCTTCAGCCCCCTTCCCCCAGGAGTCCTGGTTGCACAACTGATGAGAGCTCAGCTGCTGACCAAAAGGTTGGCGGTTCGAATCCACCTGGCGGTTCATCGGGAGCCCGACCCGGGGCTCTGCTTCTGTAAAGATTATAACCTGGGAAACCCAATAGGCCAGCTCTACCCTCATCACAAGGGTCTCTATAAGTAAAAATTAGCGTGAAGGCCCCCAACAACCACCCCCTCCCTTCCCCGTTCTGATTTTTTTTTTTTTTTTTTTGTCCTTAGCAATGCTTTTTTAAGCAGAGGGAAGGATGAAGCTGTACCTCTCCGTTTTCTTCTGAAAGCTAATCCAAAACCAAGGCTGGCATTTGGTTGGGATTCTGGAATAATTACTAGAAATTTAGCAGAACCATAAAAACAGAAACACCAGCTTCTATGAGTGTGTGTGTGTCTGACAACTGAAAATGAACAGGAATTTTATTGAACATCTTATTAATTTGTATTGGTAAAATAAGTTGTACATGGTAGCACAATGATTGTTTTTTTAAAAATCCCAACGTCAAAAAGAAATAAAGAGAAAGCCCAAGGATTTGGAGTGACTTGGTTGTACCCCTGAAAAGTCCCTTTAGAAATGAAATGTTCTGAGAAAACGATTTGACAGACAATGGCAACCGGAAGGTAGATTCTAGAACCCAACAAATCACATTCATTTCCTTCAGTTTGTAACAACAAGCAACTGACAAGTTTCCTGCCAATGAACATACTTGCAGATAAGCAAGCTCCCTACAGGAAATCCTTTGCTGAAAGAGAACCCTTGTGTCATTAAACTTTACCTTCTTCATCAAATTCCAATCAGTTAAATATTTGACAACATGAGATCATGAAATGTATGTGAAATCACCAAAATGACGGCCATAGCCCTTCTAAAATCTATATTTCCCAAGACATAGAGACAGGCTATTAAATAAACGTGACAATAAAGTCAGGACTCACTCTCTCCACCTGCCTCCCTGACCTGACCCTCCCCCAATTAGCTGATGAAAACAAGGGAAATTTGCTGCTTTTCAAAAGACCAACATGTTAACTGAGTAAGATTTAGGTGCAGTGGATAAGGCATTTATTTTGGCTGCTAACAAGAAGATCAGTGGTTCAAAGCCACCAGCCTCTCCGTAGAAGGAAAATGGACCATCTTCTGTAAAGATCTACAGCCTCAGAAACCCAGTGGGGGTCGCTATGAGTTGGCATCCACTCGATGGCAGCGAGTTTGCTTCGGTTATCTTCCATTAATATAAATCACTACAATACTATAAATCACCATGATTAGACGGGAGACATTTCTAAATGAGTATCAGAAACTTCAAATGTAAAGATTACTATGGACAAGATCCAAAAGCCTAAGAGATGCCTTCATCTTGTATTTACAAGCTTCAATTTCCATCACCGAAGTCAACATTTAGGACCAGGTCCTCTTGTTATTGTTCACTTAGCAAAGGGGGAGGGGTCTCCAAAGCTGTGGCCTGTCTTTACTCCCCTCGTTGAAACCATTACCGAGATACTGGAAATGTCTCCAACAGTAAAATGTGGACAGCCTCTCAATCACCCTACACTGAAGCACTCTTTCCCTCCACAAAACAAAGGGAAACTTTTCTAAGTTGACCGAATAAAAATAATTGCAGTTTGAAACCGTTCTTATTTCCATGTGAGGGTTTTTCCTTTCCCTGTTCAGCTACTGACAACACGGGTCTCTTAGACTTTGCAAAGCACCAGACTGCGTTCACTTCCGCCTGCACCAGCCACCCTAGAGCAGACTTCCAAATGCTCACAGCTCTGAGTCCTACTGCTTCAGACCAACGAGGAACGCTCCTGCAAACAAAAAAGCTTCCCCCAGATGACTCTTCGTCCACAGATAACGTTCTAGTCTTTCCGGCTCTCAAAAGAGTTTGGCTTCCAACAGCAGACATACAAATCCATCTGATTGCACTGTTTAGTGCTCAAATACACTCTCAGCCTGCCCTTGCACAAGTCACAAGTCGCTGCCCAAGCCTGCGTTTCGGCTTTTTCGTTACATACTTTCAATAAAAATAGTTATGAAATCCAGGAGACAGCACATTTTTGGTTGTTGTTGTAAAAATGACCTTGATTTGACAGGCACCATCTCAGGTTTCACCAGATGCCATGGGAAAAAGAGAGCATGTTCTCCAGGCATCTGGCTTGACATGCAGGCTTGTTTTTTTTGTTTGTTTGTTTGTTTTTTAAGTGGTGTTCATGGTTGTGGGTGTGCGTGCGTGCGTACGTGCGTGTGTGTGTGTGTTGGGGGTGTGGAGTTACTCTTCTCTGTTTCCATGACAACCATGTCTCCACTCCTCAGTTATTAGATACCATCCACTTCCTGTGTCTAAATTCCTGAGCCAATCAGAAAAGTGTTTATACCGTTAACAACTTCTGGGACAGGGGCTTCTTTAATGAGGGGCTCTAAGGCTCAAATGAAGATGTCCAGCCCTTCTATTCTGCTTACGGAGACATTGCAAAATATTTACTATTTCATATTCTTAGACAGTGACGAATGCCCTTGCTTGGATGTGAAAAACAATCTCCTCAGACCAGATGCCACAATTGCTTCCAATAGTCTACAAGCTGATTGTGCTTGTTTGCTCGCCGTTGTCTTTGCTGTCACTCCCTCAGACTTAAATTTAGTGCGTGAAACACGCTAATGCACGAGCCACTTCAATTATCCAAGTAGTGATACAGTGAAGCATCCATCTGCCCATGGAGGTGTCTGAACGCTCACTCACATCAGAAATTATGGTCACGAAGAATTTTCTAAGTTGAACAACTTTGCACTCTACAACTTACGGGTTGAAATCATTGGGAATGCAGCGTAAAGCTATCTGTCTGTAAACGTACGCTAGTAGCTGAAGGCTGCAAAGAAATTTGTCACCAAAATGGCCTACTTTCTTCTCTGGATAGAAACAACGACAAATTAAACGTAAAGGTAGCTCCAGCCAACGGCGCCTGGCTTAAATATCAATCTTGCAGAAATCTGAGCACAAGACGGCGAATCTGAAATAGACGGCTTGATTTTAAAGGAAGGTTTTGGGTGACTGTTTTCCTAAGTCTGAAGCTCACTGACCAATCAGGGTTAGAGTAAGAAGGGGGGGCCCAGTCGGCTGTGCAGTCTTCCGAGCTCCGCACCCCCCCTCCCCAGCTCCCCTCCTCTCTAAGGCAGAGCTGGCGATCAATGAAAAACAGGGAACAAAAGGAATATAACAGGATGTCTTCCTCAGCTAAGGAAAATGACTCCCTTTTTCCTCAATGAGCCGGTCGCGCCCTGCCTCCGCCAGCTGCACTCTGAGCCCGCAGCCGAGCAGCCCTTTGGGGTAAGCCACCTTTTACAATTGCCATCATGCGTCCCAGCTGCTGGCCAATGTGTCACCTTAAGCACAGCGTGTGACGGAGGATTCCCCGAGCCCAACCAGTGTTCACGAATAAACGCGATAAATTAATAAGCTCACAATTAAAAAGCTGCCAAGAAAGACTGCCTTTCCCGGGCCCCAGTGTCATCCCCGGAGTATAAACAAAGCATGAAAAATCGTGTCTTCAGCTTCGAGATGGCCAGCATCATGGTTTCTCTCCTCCAAACACGGTTTCTCCTAAAAGGGAAATATTTTCACTCCCCTCCACGGAAACTCTCATCTGTCTATGTCACATCAGGATAACCAGTTACAACATCTGAAAAGGGGTTTCCACTGCCCACGGATCTGACACCGCTCAGAAGTGATAGCAAAGCCGTCGCAACAGCAAAGCTGCAAACTCTGCCCCGGCCAAACTCCACATTAAACACCGTACAGCCTGAAAATAAGTAACGCTGGGCAGCCCAGCCTGCAAAATGCCCGCGGAGTCATCAACCAAGTCCAGCCATTATTTGATCATTTTTAGGATACACTCCTCTGTCTGGCATTTTCAAACAATTTTTAAAACGCCGATCCACAAATTCCCGGGAAACTTTTCTTTCTCTCTTTTTTTTTTTTTCTTAATGAACTTACTTTTTGAGCCAAAACTAATGCAAATAAGCAACTTGCCATCGCTGGAGCGTTCCCATTTGGGGCTGCAGGCTATAAATCAATCGGTAACCAGGTGGAAATTCGGGGGCGGGCACCTTAAAAAAATCCAAGGGAGCCCCAAAATGCAGCAGCCTGCACGCCTAGGGCTCCTCGTGACAATACTGCAGCGGAGCGGCAGATTAGGAGGCAGGAAATGAGCCCCACGTTCTTTACCTTCGATCGCTGCCCCCCCTGCTGCTTCTCGCGGCCGCATTGGGGGGCTGCGGCCGCGCTGGACTCGCGGGTGGCCCCGCCGCCGGGTCGCGCGTCTCCCGGCGGAGCTGCAGCCGATCGCGGCCGGAACCCCGGCTCCAGCGCCCGGCGCCCGCCCGGGGTCGGCGGCGCGGCTCCCACCCGGCCCGGAGCCCCGCTGGGTCCTAGTGCGCGCCGCGCCCGCCGGCGGCCCGGGCTGCAGCCCGCACGTACCGCAGGCGGCTTGGGGGCAGCGTGAACCTCCCGGGGAAGCCCGAAAACCCCGCCAACCCCTTTGCAGAGCAGCCGTGGTGTGTGCGAAGGAACTGGAGCTTCATGTCAAATCCTGGCATAGGGTGTTAAGGGAAAGCTACCGTGCGACGGAAGTCCCAGAGCATATGTTAATAGCCGCAGTCCCATTGTAAAGTATAGGGCAGGAACCGGAGTCCACTGGTTTCCCCCGTGCGCTGGCAACAGTGTTCACACACAGAAAGTAAGAGACAGTAAGGAAGGGCTCAGTAAAGATTTCAAAAATATTACACGTTAAAAAAAAAAAAAAACGTAGGAAATGTGTTTAAAGCAATGTTTTCAACAGTTTTCCGGTGACATTTTTTCCTGTTCACAAGTCCTTTTGCGTTTTTGCTTTCTCTTACTTTCTAATATGCTGTATTAAATAACAAAGCCCCATATGGCTAAACACGTAGTCATTTGATTTTCAAAAGGCCTCCAAAATTGCATTAAAATATGCACCCATGTATCTCCTAAGAAATCAACGAGAAAGAATTAATGATGGCATATGGAGCGCCTCAAACAGAAAACTTAATTACAAATGAAAACGAATGCGAAAATGTACAATTTCAGTAAACTGAAAGTAAATGATGTTCCTAGATTAATACACAAATCAGCCTGTGTACAAGGAGGAAAATGCCAGATATAGGTTTCTCCTTTCTGTGGGGCACGAATGGTACCTGAAGAGGTGTAACAGAGCCCCCTGTTCGCCCCAAAGGGCTTTCAGCTTCCTCTCAGCACCGTCAGGCCCCACAGCCCCGCTGCGGGATCACTTTAAACTTGTTAGTGTTCATTTAGGAGGACAATTCTATCAGAACTTACTTCAAAATAAAGCTGCGTTAGTTAGAAAAGCCTCTTGCAAGTCTTGGAGACGGACGCTTTCTCTCGCTCTTTGACATCACCAAGTTTGAGGGTCACAATTCTGCGAAACTGCTAATAACGGTGGCACCGTGGTGTGACGCCAAAAAGAAAATCAAATATGTGCTTTCTGAGCTCTATTTTGGGAGCAGACAAATCCCTTTGAAAAGTCCTCTTACCCTTCCCTTTTTCCAATGATAGCTAAATAAATTTAATGGAAGATTTTTAGTATTAATTAAACATCAAAGGCACCCTTTTTGCTGCCTTATGGAAGAAGAGTGGATAGTATGTTACACTTGTCAATCTTCAAAGGACTCTCCTATGTATCTCACGCCATCTTCATCACACCTCTGTGACAAGACAGACAGTACATTCCCCAATTTTCAAAAGAGAAAGTGGAGGCTCGGCAAGTTTGTGACTTGCCCAGAATCACACAGCTGGTACCTGTAGGATCTACAATCCTATCCTGAATCTTCAACACTCTTGGGACCATCACCTGGCTTCCCAACTATTTCTCTAGATATACTGTGGGAAATGGGATATTCAAAACAAAATGGCACGTAAATCTCTATAGTCATGATTTCTTATATGCATTGTTGTTATGTTGTTGCAAGATGCCGTCAAGTCATTCTGACGCATACTGACCCTACAAAGAACAGAACGAAACACTACCGGGTGCTGCACCATCCTCACAATCATTGCTATGTTTGAACCCATTGTTGCAGCCACCGTGTCAATCTGTCTCTCTGAGGGTCTTTCTGTTTCTCGTTGACCCTCTCCTTTACCAAGGCTGATGTTCTCCAGCGAGGGGTCCCTCCTGATAACATGTCCTCAGGACACAGGACGCAGTCTGGCCATCCTCTCTTCTAAGGAGCGCTCTGGCCAGGCTTCTTCCAAGACACATCTGTTTGTTCTTTTATGGCAGTGCGTGGAATACTCGATATGCTTCAACACCATAATTCAAAGGCATCGATTCTTCATCTTCCTTATTCATTGTCCAGTTTTCACATGCATATGAGGCGATTGCAAATACCATGGGTTGAGTCAGGCACACCTTGGCCTCAAAGTGTTATCTTTGCATTTCCACAGTTTCAAGAGATCTTTTGCAGCAGAATTGACCAATGGAATATATCATTTGATTTCTTGACTGCTGCTCCCACGGGTGTTAATTCTGGATTCAAGTAAAATGTAACAATCGGCGACAACTTCAGTCTTTTCTCATTTATCGTGATGTTCCTTATTGGACCAGTTGTGAGGATTTTTGTTGTCTTTATGTTGGGGTGTAATCCATACTGAAGGCTGTGGTCTTTGATCTTCATCAGTAAGTGCTTCAAGTCATCTTCGCTTTCAGCAAGCAAGGGTGTGTCATCTCCACGTCACAGGTTGTTAATGTGTCTTCCTCCAATCCTGATGCCACATTCTTCTTCAGGTAGTCCAGCTTCTCAGCTTATTTGCTCAGTATACAGACTAAATAAGTACAGTGAAAGGATACAACCTTGACGCACACCCTTCCTGATTTTAAACTATGCAGTATCCCCTTGTTCTTTTTGAACGGCTGCCTCTTGGTCTATGTCCAAGTTCTACGTGAGCACAATTAAATGTTCTGGAATTCCCATTCTTCACAATGTTATCCATAATTTGTCATGATCCACACAGTCAAATGTTTGGAATTATCAATAAAACATAGGTCAAATCTTTCTGGTATTCTTGGCTTTCAGCCATGATCCATGTTACATCAGCAATGATATTCCTCATTCCATGGCCTCTTCTGAATCCAGCTTGAATTTCTGGCAGAACTCTGTCTGTGTATTACTGCAACCGTTTTGAATTATCTTCAGCAAAATCTTACTTGCATGTGATAGTAATGATATTGTTCAATAATTTGCACATTCTGTTGGATCACCTTACTTTAGAATGGGCACCAATATTGTCATCTTCCAGTTAGTTGGTCAGGAAGCTATCTTCCAAATTTCTTGGTACAGACGAGTGAGTGCTTCCAAGGTTGCATCCGTTTGTTGAAACATCTCAATGTATCAGCTCCTGGAGCCTTGATTTTCTCCAATGCTTTCAGTGCAGCTCAGACTTCTTCCCTCAATATCATCCATTCTCAAGCATATGCCACCTCCTGAAATGACTGAACATCAGCCAATTGTCTTGGTACAGTCATTAGAACCAGAATTTACCAGAATGGACAGATGTGGCTAGCTGTAAATATTTTTGTCTCTGCTAAATGAGAAAGATAGCTTGTGAGACCTGTGCTGGCCAGATTTCTGTCCTGTGACTGTCCAGGTCACCCTGGAAGACAGAAAGTGTAAAATTCAGGGACTAAGCCATGCTGAGGTCACTCACGTGGCTTTTTATTCTGTATCAGAGAGAAGAACTGGGTCTACGTTATGCACCCTAGAAATGAGATTTTTCTAAAGTGGAACTTGGTTTTCTATGAGCAGTCCCAGCACTGAGAGGCCACACAAACCCTATTGGATATGAGGCACCCTATTAGCAAGACCCAGGGTGTCCTTGCTCAGGTCTAGTGACAATAAGAACTTCAGTGGACTCCAAGGCCTCACTGCTCAGCTCTCCTGCACCCATGGGAAATTCACCACTCACGTCTGTTTGTGGCAGCCCACTTCCTCCCCCTCTCTGCTGAAAGGAAGTGTGGCTTCTCAGATGATGTGTCCCAGCCCACCCAAATACCAGCCAGGTGAATCGCTGGGTAACATTTAACCAAAAAGAAAGATGTAAACCTCTTATTCTTAACAGTTCCTCATTCTTTCTTTGTGTTGTGCATGTCCTAAGGAGAGGCTAGCCATGGTACCATCACTGGCAGATGTATGCAGCCTGCCTGCAAGTCTGAAGGCAACCCTTACTTGAATGAATTTATATATTTGATCCCTTTGCTGAAAACTATTCTAATTACTGTAAACCATGTGGCCTTCAAATGTTGCAAATGCTAGGCTCAAAGTAATCTTAGCACAAATAGGAGGTGATGAGAGGCTATAAAGAGATGCTGGTGCTGAGCAAATCCTCAAAGCCAGAGCACAGCCAAAGAGGTAATGGTCAAAAGAAACCACCATTCATTCATTCATTCACTCAATCATGTATATATTAAACGTTGAAAACGTAATATGAGCCAGGCACTGTTCTAGACTCTTAGAAAACTAATTATGTCTCAAAGAACTTGTCACATGGATCCCCTGGACAGGTAAAAACCACGGAGCAGGGGTGTGAGTGCTGCAATAAAGTCATGTCCCACTGCTCTGGGTTCAAGTGCCAGCCAGCCTGGTGCTGGGCCAGTTTGTCCTCAGAGCCCTTTTCCACCCTGCCCCCTGCTCTCTATTGCTGGCAGCTGACTCTCACACCCAGTTTCCCAGCTTCCTGGGTCAATGGGCTAACGGTTGGCTATAGCCAATCAGAGACACTGGAGGGAATTGGAAGGTGGGATGAAGGGACAGGACAGGCATTTCTTGACCTTCCTCTTGCCTCTGAAGGCTTCTCCAGCATCTGGCTGAAGCTTCTGCCCAGTGACCTTGGCCCCCGAGCTCGCGTAGCACTGCTGCTCCCACTTGGAGACAGGACTGGCTTTTGGCTGGCGTTCGTCTCCGGCCAGCTTTGCCTTTCCTGCTTCCCTCAGCTCCCCCATCACTGCGCACCCAGTGCCCTGCACTGAATCACGTACATCAGCAAATCCCAACAGGCGGGCATCCTGCAAGGCACCTGCCTAGTTCTCAGAACTGCCAAGGTCACCAGGAATGAGGAAAGTCTTCGAAACTGTCAGTGCAAGGGGAGCCTCGGGAGACTTGATGACTAATGGCATGTGGTGTCCTGGATGGGATCCTGGGACAAGAAAAGGACGTTACGTTAAAAAAAAAAAAAAAAACTAAGGAAACCTGAATAAAGTAGGGATTTTTGTTAATAATAATGTGTCAATATT